TTTCAACCCATGATCGATAAGGTTTTTTGTTGTCCGCTTTGCGTTCGGGAAGAAAAATCGTTTGGGGGGTAAAGTCGTCATCCTCTTCTCCATTCTCCATCATGTCCAAAAGACATTCGACATAAGCCCTCGAACTCCTATTCAGAAAATCAATGGATTTGTCACTATAATTAGTACGAACTGTCGGCATCTTCATTGTCTTGTTGTCAAGTACGTTGTTATTAACAGATATAACACTTTCCGTTGTATTTGTCGCATTGTCTTCATGTATGTCCGCCAAAGGAACCGAATTCCCGTCCATCCCCTCTTACATATTTGTGGGGTCGATGTGCCGCTCCGCTGTGTTGCTGGGCTGCTCAGCAACAGGCACCTGGGCAGCACCATCGTCTTGCGGAGGAACAGGCGTGGGTGGGGGTGTGTGCGGGGAAGTACCAACAGAAACAGTTGTCAGGGGATTTGATTTCTTCTGTTCAGGGTGTGGCACCGTCGGCGAGGGTGGTGTGCCAGAGTCTGGTGGCTCTCTTCTGTTCTTCCGTCGCTGATGCAACACATACACCACGGCGACAACCAGAGCACTTAATAAAACGGCGCCCGCAATAACAATCCCGGCGATGAATCCACCAGACATTCCTGTGGTCGACTCACCATCATCCTCCCACACGTCCTCCCAGACATCCTCTAGCACATCCTGCATGTGCGTGTAGGTGCGTCCTCCGATTGTCACGTTGGCTGCGATGAAGCAGAACTTCACATCCTGAACAGGCATTCCCCTGCTGGCGAGATCCAGAAACACGGATAATGAATTTGGGGACTCACTCTTCTCACACACACGAGGCCCAGCAGAGACGGAATCACATGTTTCATCCTGTGGCACAGCGCACACCGTGTACGGCTCTCTGCGCCACTCGAGGTCACCACCAGTAACATTAATCGTAGCAGTGTTCTGGTCCGTGTCAGCAGTTATCTTGAAGGCAAAGGGTTTCTCCAGTACCGCCACCGGCAGCGCAGCAGGAGCAATGTGCTCTCCATCACCATCACCATCACCATCGACACACACAGCGTACACGCCAGCTTCTGCAGACAGCACACGGAGGTCGGACAGGTACACCCGCGACGAGACGGAGGTGTTGACACACGCATCACGGTGCACCACCTTTTCCCCACTGCCAGTAGTCACACGGGGGCAGTTGTTGTCAGGGCACCGCTCCAGGAACACACGCCTCAACATACTGACCACAGATTCCGCATCCTGCAGCACGACATTTCTGTCTTTACCAGCTGTCAAGTACAGCGGCGTGGCCAACAGCACCTTCACCTCAAGAGATTCTACACCCCATGGAAGGTATTGGTCATGCCAGTCATTTGACGTCACACAGAGCCTGTATTCGCCAGGAGGGGGAAGATGCGCGGGTGGCAGCATTCTGTAGCACCCAACAGAGTCAGTGCAGGTTGTAGTGGTGTACTGGCATACATCGAAAGAGCGGACCAGCATGTAGTCGGAAGCCATGGTGCCACTCGGAAGATTGGGTGCAAACGATACAGCCATACCGTAATACGGACAGAGAATAGCAAAATCCGCATTGGTCTCTTCACTCAACATGAAGTCCATGCTCTTATTGGTCGTCCGAGGAGTGGAAAAGCCTACATTGTCAGAACGCCCCGTGAATACCAATTCCCAACGTCCTGAAGGCGCCCCATGATCAGGCATGAATGTAATGGTATTAGTTTCCTCGTCCAGAGTCGCCGGCCAGCCAGGGATGAGGTCTCCTTTATGATAGTACGAGGCGGAGAGGTTCAAGCCACTCAGTGCTTCGTCATTGTTAACTTCGCAGGTGTATGGGATGTTGGAAGGACTGAGTATTACGCTGGGAAAGCAGTTCGTGAGTATCACCAAGGATTCATTTCCAGCTGCAGGCGTGGCCATTCTCGTTCGGGGGACCACGCCACCAGCCGCAGCGGCACAGCGAAGAAACGGTTCAATCACAAGCATCAGTACCAGACACAACACCTGGATGTCTCTCAACTGCAGCCCCATAGATGTCTGTAGTCTCACCTTCCTTCTGCCTCGACGTAGGATTGAAACAGGTTCAGAGAGGCCCATGTCACCGAGACTGCAACTGTCAATGCTCTTTGGTATCTTGGAATACCGTAGATGCGTCAATTGCGATTTGCCTTTCATGTGCCTCACATTCTTCGATTGCATTAATAGTCCTTCTAGGAGCTGCTTGTCTTGCTTCAGAAAAAAAAACAGATGCAAAAGGAAGAAAATAGCACGCAGAGCACAGACAATCAGTAACAGAAGAACTTGTACAGTTGACACTTCCCCATGCTTGTGTACTTGGGGTTTCTACTCGCATACCAGTGAAGAACTATCACTTGTGCTTCCTGATTAGATCACTGTGTTTTATCAGTACTTTTTCTGCACACTTCTTTGGGGCTCCTCACTCTCCCCTGAGCCTCAGCACAGCCACTACACAGCTGCCTCCATACACTTCACACCAACAATTCCCTCAATGTCGATTGCACCTCTCCAAGAGGCACATCAGGTGGCCAGCATGCCCTGAACCCGTGTCAGCGTCGCTTGACTCACCCGTTAGAAACACATGCTGCACTGGCACCAACTCCGGTTAACATACGCTACCTATCTTCAACTCACATTCACTTCACAATCTCTCGAATGACCCTATTCTCCAGAGTATTTATATATTTTACCCTACCAATATTTTGATTCAATCTTTAGCGAACACCCTAGAGAGTCCCTCGACAGCGAGATTATCATAAACACCCTTCAAGCCCTCAACTGTGAAAGGGACAGACCTCAACTCAACCACGGACAGAAGAAGCAGCACGGCAATAGCAGTAATACTCCTTAGTGAGCCAAGCTCACCGAGATCTACTTCCTCCTGTGCCTCAAACGAAGGATAAGAAGACATATCTATTCGATGCCCCTACTCTCCCACATACTGACTTATGTGGTTGTGATTCACACTATGACGCACTGACCTCCCATTAGCGAGTGTATTGCGTCTTCAATTAAGCAGGTGTAATATTTGCAGGCAACGAATTCCATAGTAATGCATCACGCAGGCATTATTAGAAAGCCAAAAAAAAAAAAACAATTTAAAGAGTCTGAGAAATATCAACGGCCCTGCATCTTTATCATGTATGTTTTTGCCACCCACTCCGTTTTTTTTTTTTTTTTAAAGGGATGCTGGTTGAGCGAAGGCAGTATTCCACATCTCACCGTGAATATCCAAGTATAACACCTGGAACCAGTACAATTCAGTCGACTCCGGTATGCCGGAGAGGCCCCTACCAATGGCAAAAATGAATCCAGGTCGACGCTATAGGTGCACCAATGTGCAGCAAGTCAGCAACCAGAACTTCCGTGCCCTCAAGGACTGGCTCAAAAAGACAGGTACACATCATGGCAACCTGTCAAACAAACACAAATGTCTATTGAACCATTGGAAAATATCCCCTGTTCTACAACAATATCAACAGAAAAATCAGGGAGACACCAATTTCGCATTCAACCCTCTTTCTTCTATTGTTGGTGCATTACTAACGGAATTTTCATTGCTACACCATGGGAAAACACAGAAACGACAGCGTGAGGTGCGCCGCGGGACCAATGCGAAGTTTTTAAAAATGGCAACCCGCTGAAACAATGTCATTTGGACAAAAAAACAGCTTTTGAAGATTCCTGTTGCGCACACGCCACCGCATTTGTCCCAACAGCCGTCTTTTATTATTGCTGTTCTTCCGTTGGCGCGGGGGGCCGCCACCCCAGAGTGGAGGAAAGAAACTTCCCACCAACCACGGCATTCACACCCCACCCGCGGAACGCGCCGACAACTTTTGCAGCCGGCAATGCCCCTAAAGGGGCCACCGGGAAAAATATGTAACGCCCGCCCTGCCCGGGGGGGAGCAGCGCCCCAGCAAAAAAGAACGCGCCCGCCAACAAACGGGAGAGCGGCAAACCCCCCATCCCTCGCGGCGAAAACCCTTGGCGCCGCGGCGGTCCCGGCACCCAAGGGCAACCAGGCGGGGGGTGGCCCGGTGAAGCCGGGGGTTGTTGTTGTTGCGGGTTGTCCTTCGGAATTTGTTCTCTTGGTGGTGTGCGTTGGTTGTTCTTTGTGCGCTAAAGGCTTTTCTTCGTTGGCTGGTTTGCTCTCTTAAGCGTTGCCAAATTTCTTGTTGCCTGCGATGCCTTCGGTATCTGTTATATCTCTGTTTCTTGCTTTTTTTCTTCTTGTTTTTTCTTTGCAGTCTTGTTCGCTTTTTAAGAAGCATATGGCTGCCAGTTCTACCCCTTCCGATAAACTTCAGTCGTCATTAGATGGAATGTGCACTTCGGATAAATACAAAGGTTTTTCCAGCGATGTGGGGGATAGTGCACCATCCCCGTCTACAACGCAAGTGGAGAGCTTTGACGAAGAGAATGCTCCTTACGGAGCGTCAGGAGAGGATCAAGAAGGTTCCGCCTCTGACGATGGAAATGTCAACATATTTAAATGCGCCTTTAACATATTCAAAGGAAACGTCGGAAGTGCCGTGTTTCTACTCCCGACATTTTACAAGGACGCAGGCTATATTTTGTCTCCGATAATTGGATTGACGATGGGGTCGTGTGTCGTGGATTGTTCTCGCCTGCTTCTTCGTGCAAAGCGTATTGTGAATAAACGGGATGTCACGAATTATTCCCAGTTATGTCAGTTTGTTCTTGGGACTCCTTTTCGATATCTCCTTCTTCTGGTGCTTCTTTTGACGCAATTCGGGTTTTGTTTGTTATATCTTCAGTTGTTCGGGGGCTCCATGTTGAATCTCGTTTCACGGTTTACGGGGGATCAATACATCTGGATGACTGTCATGTTTGTGGTTGTTCTTCCAGTTTCATTTTTCAGTGACAACTTGTCGTTCCTGGCGTTAATTTCTATGGTAGCGACTGTTTGTGTGTTTTTTGCGCTCCTCACCACTGCCGTTCAGACGTTTATGAAACTTCACCGTGAAGGTATCGATCCAACTACTCATCCAGTGGGAACTGATGTCCCTTTTGGATGGTTTAATAACATGGCGAACAATATGATGATTCTTGAAGGTATTGGTGTTGTTTTGCCTGTGGAGAATGCGTGTAACAACAAACGCCGCTTTCCATTTATGGTCACAGTTGTTTTGTATGTGGTTGTCGCATGGTACTTGTTATATGGCCTTTCAGGTTATCTAGCCTATGGAGATAACCTTACAATATCACTTGTTGATGCACTGCCCCATGACACCTTGTCGACAGTAGTTCGTGTTGCCTTTACAATGAACATACTGTGCACATATCCTATTCTTTTCATGCCGGGAATTCTGCAACTTGATTCCGTTCTGGGATGGCGACCACGGTCGTGGAAAGGGATTCTAATGCGTGTTCTGATCAGTCTTGTTATTTACGGTATTGCAATGGGTGTGGGAACAGGTGCAGTTAACACTGTTGTTTCTTTTATTGGGGCGCTTCCAGCAACAGTCATGATAATGATACTTCCACCTCTACTTTCACTATCTGTGGAATCAAGTGTGGAGGACCCTGGTGCTTCGCGGACAGCGTGGAAGTACTGGCGTCGCAATTTGTTTGGCAAGCCACTTACTTTTATGCGAGCGCGCTCCTACTTCTATATTTGCTGCGGTATTGTGATTATGGTTGTGGGAACTTTCAGTGTATTGAAAGGAATTGTGTAGTAGTGCTTTTCTGTAGATTTTTTTCTTCCTGTTTTTTTTTTTCATCTATATATGCACCAAATTTACGGTGAGGAGACGTACTGTTGGTGTCACTTTCTCTTTTTTTTTCTTTGTCTTTTTTTTTTGACACCCTCTAATGTTAATATTGCTGTTTTGTCACCCATACACGTCATCCACAGGCAACCAATTCGTAGTGAGCGTGACTTTTGGGCTTATTTTCTTCTATCGCACTGTGGAATGTTTGTACCTCTCTTTTTTTTCGTTTTGTTTTGGCTCCTCCTTTGGCCTTAAATTTCTTTTCTTTTCTTTTGTTTTTCTCTGCAGTTTAGTCTGCAAATGAGTGTAGATGAGCGGCGACTTCATGGTTTTAGGCTTACCAAGAAAGAGGTTGAAGAGCGTCGAAGGGCAGAAAAACTTCGCAAGTGGAATGAAAAACTTGAGCAGTCGGATCTAGTGAAGCTAAAAAAGGAGCTAGATTCATTGCACCAAGCCAGGTTTTTGGCACCTCAACAAAACGAACGAAAAAGGTTGGTGGAACGGATGATACGAGACCTTGAACGGAGGGAATTGAAATGTTGCAGTGAAGACGGTGGTGCTGACGAGAAACAAGTGGACTTTCCGAAACGCGAGCGAAGCGTTTCGAGTTCTTCCTCTGATGACTGTGAAGGCCTGCTCGTCAGCTCTCATGTTGTGAGGAGTGAAGCGAATAGTTTTCCTGCAAATGCTCATCATTTTCTCCCACGAGCGTTGCGAAAAAGACGTTGCGAGGGAGCGGTAGAGGAAAATAACAGAAAACACGACGCCAAGGTTGCTGAAGCCACTCTTCTTTCTAACAATACAGTCGGAGGTGAGCTTGAAGAGTTCTTTGATTCGCTATAAGTGGTTTTTTTTTCTTCAGGGTGGTGATGTCGATGGTGCATGTTTGAGGGGCAGCGGAGTATGGAATGAACCAAATGATATTTGTTTATATTCAGTTCGTTTCTTGTTTGTAGAAAACAATTGTCTTGTTTGATTTTTTTTTCCCTGTCTTTTCGTTTTTTTTTTTTGTTTTCGTTGCTGATATGGTGTGAAATTTGGTTGCGAAAAGTAAGGTAGACGGTGCCTGGTGCAGTGTATGATGTTTTGTTCACGGCTTAGTTCACGGCTACTGACGTGTAAGGAGCATGCACGGTTTCTTGAAAATAGACAGTGGTTGCAGGGACTCCTAAAAGATTTTTCAGTTGAGAATGTTCTTGGCGTTCCGCAGGCGACTGATTCGCCTTGCGTTATGATTTACGGTTCATGTGTAGCTGGCACTTCATTTCAGGACGGTGATGCCGATTACGCCGTTGTTTTTCCCTTGAAATCATCTGTTTCAGATTTTGGACCACTTGAAAAGCTAAAAATATCGCCCGTTAAGTTTCTTGATGTTGAACGTGAGCATCATAAAAATGTCCTGTCCTCTATTCTTGGACACATAGAGAGGCGGAATCTTTCGGTTGAGCTGAAGTTTGAGCGAATATTTGCAGCCCGTGTCCCTATTGTGCGTATTAAGAAATTGACGAACAATTCTGCCGATAGCATTCGTTTTGATCTCTCTCTTTCCCTAGATGGTCTTCGGAACTCTTTGTTGATTCGCTTGTATATGGAGTCGGACCCACGCCTTAGGGCTGGAGCGCTCTACGCCAAGCTTTGGGGTCGTTCACAAAAAATTCTTGACGCCCGACGAGGATGGATTTCCCCCTACGCATTGACAGTGATGTACATTTATTATATGCAGGTTACAGGAAGGACTACTAGCGTCATTGACGAAAGAAAAGTTGACGAATTGATTTCGCTTGCCGCGATGCAATTGTCAAGAGATATTAGTGTAGAATCTTCACAATTTTATGAGATGCTTCCGTGCCAAGAGGTGGTTGTATCTGAGGTTTTGGATGATTTACGCGGTTTCTTTGGATTCTTTGGTGATTTTCGACAATTTGATTTTGATTCTGACGTTGTCGATATTCGAACGCAAAATAAGTGGTTATCAAAGGAACAATGGCTTAATGAACTGAAACAATCGGGCGAAAAAGAACGATGGGAGCTTTTAGGTTACGAAATGGTCATGGTGCGCGACCCGTACGAACCTCATAATCTGGGTCGTAGCGTAGACTTTTTTCGTGCTGAGGATATTCGGGAGATGTTTCGTTTGGCGTCAGATGGGAACTCTGAGAATCTACTAAGTCTATGAGTTTTGAAGGCGTGTTGTTGCTGTTGTTGTTTTAGCTGCGTCTGGCCTTGAAGCAATTCTGCATCTCTTTGTGTCGTGTAGAGGCGGAAGGGGATTATCCAAGTTGCTCTCATTGGCCCCGTTGGGAACTACGATAGATTTTTCTCGATGTGTTGTTTCTGTTTAAGAAAAGGGAGGAGGGGGTCTAGAGAATAAATACATCACCTCGGTTTGTTTTGTCTTTTCTTTTTCTTTTTTTGTTACATTCTCAGCATCAAGAGGAGCAAGGGAAACCAATTTTTTAAGTGGAAGTTCGTAATGAGCAGCAAGAAACTTGGCGAACTTCAGCGTTCAGGGGAGTTTCGCATCCCTCAGGAAGGCCAAGGCAGTGAAAGCAAACTTCCTCCAGAGCAATGGCCACTTTTGTTGAAAAACTATGATAAGATGAACGTGCGATCTTCACATTTCGCTATCTTGGAATGTGGCTGGTCACCTCTTCAGAGGCCTCTGACGGAATACGTAAAGTACGGTATGATAAACCTTGATAAACCGTCTAATCCTAGCTCGCATGAAGTTGTGTCGTGGATTAAGCGTATTTTGAAATGCGAAAAGACGGGACATGCAGGGACTCTTGACCCTAAAGTTACTGGGGCTCTTATTATATGCATTGATCGTGCAACGCGTTTAGTCAAGTCTCAACAGAACGCTGGTAAAACATACATTGGGGTGTTGCGCCTTCATGATGCGGTAAGTGAAAAAAAAGTTGTTGCTGCTCTACAACGCCTTACTGGACCTTGTTTTCAACGGCCCCCTCTGATTGCTGCAGTGAAACGTCAGCTTCGCATTCGTAATATATATTCAAATCGACTGATTGAGTATGATAAACATCGTCATTTGGCCGTGTTCGAAACTCACTGCGAAGCAGGTACTTACATTCGAACCCTTTGCGTTCATCTTGGTTTGATCTTGGGTGCGGGTGGTCATATGGAAGAGCTCCGCCGCATTCGCACGGGGGTAATAAGTGAGGACGATCATATTTCTACTATGCACGATGTCCTCGATGCACAATGGCTTTATGAGAACGAGAAAGATGAGAGTTATCTTCGCCGTGTGATTCTCCCCTGTGAGTACCTTCTCACAAACTACAAGCGTTTGGTTGTTAAGGATTCTGCCGTGAATGCAATGTGCTACGGTGCGAAACTTATGATTCCTGGACTTTCACGGTTTGACAATGGGATCGAAAAAGACGATATTGTTGTGTTGATGTCTACCAAGGGTGAAGCTATTGCCCTTGCATATGCTGAGATGTCAACTTCACAAATGGCGTCTGTGGATCATGGGATTGTTGCTCGAAGCAAGAGAGTCATAATGGACCGTGACACGTATCCAAGACGGTGGGGACTCGGTCCAATTGCCGTAAAAAAACGTGCAATGATGAAGGATGGCCTTTTGGATAAGTATGGACGTCCTCAAGCGAACACTCCATCTGATTGGTACTATGTAGACTACGGTGGAGTGAAGACAAACGCAGAGGGAGTTCAGTATGGCGATGCACCAAGGAAAACTACAAAGCGTCCTAGAGCCGTTGAGGATGATTCGGAATGAAGGTATTTAATAAGGGGTCTTAATGAACTGCTTTAAGTGAACCCACCAAGTCCTCTGGATTTGTACTCTTTTTTTTTTTTTTGCGGGCTTGGATGAGGGATGGGCCGTGCGTTACCGCTCTTGTCTCAAAAACTTACCCCAAGTTGTTTTCTGAAATTTTACTTTTTCTTTGTTTTCTTCTTTTTGTTTGTTTTTTATTATATCTTTTTGAAGCGTCACGAAGCAAAAATGTCGGGAAAACTTCGTTTGTATAAGGAAAAGCTTGAGGGTTACAACCGGTTCTACTCGATCGTGAAGACGATCAAGATGGTGACCCTTGCAAAATATCGGGTTGCTCAGGGTCGTGTGAAAACGCGTGATTTCACACTGCGATACACTGAAAAGGCGTTCAGTAAGCCCAATGCAAAGGAGAAGGACATAATAGCCTCTGCAAAGGGCTCCCTGGTTTATATTCCGATCACGACAAATCGAGGTTCCTGTGGAGCACTCAACAGCAATACTGTGCGCTGCATTGACTCTGTGGAGTCAGACAAGATGGTGCTGATGCCGGTTGGTAAGCGTGGAATTGATTCCCTGTCCAAGCTTTACTCCAGTGAGTTCAAGTATGGCATTATTAATGACATGAAGGAGTCAATGCACTTTGCATACGCAACTTATATCTTGGAAAATGCCTACACGATTGCTGAGGATGCAGAACGCTATCAATTCATTTTTCATCGTTTTGTGTCGGCAGGTGTTCAAAAGCATGCTGTGTATAACATTCCGTCGTATGAAAAATGGAAGGAAGATCTCACTGACGCCGCTAGTACAGAAAACCAAAAAAACCGTTACCTGTTCGCTAACTCTCTACAGAATGAGGAGGAGCAGTTTATCCGAGATTTTTATGACTTTCATGCATCGCTTATGGTTCTCAACGCTGTTGCTGAGAATGAGCTTTCCGAGCAGGCTGCTCGGTTGGTTGCTGTTGAAGGCCAACTGACAAACATCAGCAGCTTGAAGCAGCGAACCAGCTCACTTTACAACAAGACACGGCAGTTCGGAATTACTGCAGCTCTTATTGAAATTCTCTCGGCCATGAGCTCTCTGGAAGGAAACACCGCCAAGGGTGTTCAGTGTAATAAGTTCTGGGAGGGAGCAAAGATGAAGTAGGGTTTTAATGGAAGGCAGGTTCGTTAGGTATCAATCGCAATAGTAGGGGGCTGTGAAGGAAAGGTAGGCAACGCGTGCGTAGCGCTGGCGTGTTTTGACCTTATGTGATCTTGTGAGTTTCTCTCTGCATGTATGAATTATAATGACTCTGGTTCCAGGATTTTTTATGTTTTGTTAGTAATTTAAATTTGAAATTCCCTTTTTTTTTTGTTTCCTTTTTTTTCCTTTGCTTTTCTTAATTTTTAAAAGAGGGATCCAAATGAAGCTCAACATCGCCTACCCGCGGAATGGCACCGTGAAGCAGTTTGAGGTGACGGATGAAGTTCTTCTTCGTGTTCACCTTAATGACTACCGCTTGGGCAACGAGGTTGATGGTTCAATCTTTGGCAATGAGTTTAAGGGGTATACCTTTAAGCTTCGTGGTGGTTCTGACAAGGATGGGTTCCCCATGGTTCAGGGCGTTATGGCTTCCAGTCGGGTTTCCCTCCTTGTCAAGCGCGGTGCCGTTGGCTTCAACACCTTCCGTGGCTACCAGGGCGAACGCCGCCGCAAGTCTCTCCGCGGTTGCGTTTTGGCTAGCGATATTGCGCTTCTCAACGTCACTATTGAAAAGGTGGGTGATCAACCCATCGAAGGCGTAACAGATGTTTCCCTTCCTCGTCGCTTGGGTCCTAAGCGTGCGAACAACATTCGCAAGCTCTTCGGTCTCTCCCGCGATGATGATGTCCGTAAGTACGTCGTTCGCCGAAAGGTGACAAAGGAGGGAAAGAAGGACCGGTTTAAGGCTCCAAAGATTCAGCGCCTGATTACATCCACAATTAGGGCTCGTCGTGCCAAGAAGGTAAAGGTTGCAATTGAGAAGGTACGCAAATCGGCGGAAGAGCGTCGGGAGTACTTGCGGTTGATCGGCAGTCGCCGTCGCGCGGCACGTCAGAGAAAGACGGCTCGTCACCACGCTCACAAGGTCGCTGCCCAGAAGGTGGAGGTTGCCGTCTTCAAGGCGAAGAAATGAGGTCACTTGGATCACCTTGCAAATTCGTTTTCTTTTTGATTTTTGTTGAACACACTGTGTCGCATCATTTCATACCGCTATTCCCTTTCCCACCATTCCACGAGAAAGAAATCTGTTTCAGATGTTCCTTGTTCAGATGCTTGGAATCACGATGACAGGCGCTCCTCTTGTGTGTTTTTTTTTGTATATTGAATTAGTTGCATTTATTTTTAAAGAGCTCTGCAAAGTATGAAGCCTCAGACCGTGTCTCTTTTGGCCGGTGCTGCTGTGATGACCACCGGAGCTGCAGCTGCGACAATCACGTGCGCCGATGTGTATCCGCAGTCAGCGGCTTTTTTTGGATCGATGGGCTGTGCGTCTGCACTGATATTTGCAAACCTTGGGTCCGCTTACGGTACAGCAAAGTCCGGCGTCGGTGTGGCCCATCTCGGCATTCTTCATGCTGAACGGATCATGCGTGGTATTGTGCCCGTTGTTATGGCTGGTATTCTTGGTATCTACGGGCTGATCGTGTCTGTGATTATCAACAACAACATCAAGACTGAACCGCAATCCTACTCTGCATTTTCTGGTTACTTGCATTTTGGTGCTGGTCTGGCTGCAGGGTTGTCCTCGCTTGCTGCAGGTTTATCAATCGGTATCGCCGGCGATGCAGCTGTTCGCGCCTACGGTAAACAGGAAAAAATTTTCGTTGCCATGATTCTCATGTTGATTTTCGCCGAAGCGCTGGGGCTGTACGGACTCATTATCGCGCTTCTCATGAACAATACTGCTAACAAGGTGAATTATGGCGCATGCCAGTGAGGTACTCCCCATTTATATTAAGTATAAAAATTTAGAGGAGGGACGAAATCGCCATATATCTGATGTTTTGTTTCCAGCGCAGTTTTGTTGAGCTTGCTTTAGGGCTCGCTACCTTATTTGCCTTTTCGTTTGTTATGTTTTTTTTTCCTGTTTTGTGTGTTTTTCTTTCCTTTTTTTTGTATTATTATTGTTATTTTTCTGTACTACCGGCTACGATTATTAAGAATAGTAGTAATGCTTCGAGACCGTATAGTGAAAGGGCTTAAAAGCCATGCTGCCAGTGCTGCACCTCTGTTTCTAGTGGCTGGAATTCTGCTTATCGGTAGTATTCCAATTCTGAAACCGAAACGCAACTTCATCGACGAAAGTGCTGTAAATGTGGGGAATATTCCAGTGCTGGTGACCCCTTTTGATGCATCTCGCTATGATACCAAAGTACTGCAGGATCACCGCATTGTTCATGGTCGTCGCTCTGTAGGTGCAGAGACTATCGCCGTCTACGTCAATACTGCAGAGAAGTCGTCCATTGTCTTGGCGAACAATCTTATGGACGTTCTTAGGAGGAGGGAAAGTATGGCATGTGATGTGGATTTCTACTTTGTCAATAGTAGTGCCCCTCATTGGCCTATACCCAGTGCCTTTGTCCGTTCAGCAGTAGCCATCAACATTTCTTCATTAAATACACACAAATTGTGCTTTGGTGTGTATGGTAAAAATGGAATGCAACCCAATCAAGACCTCTTCAATGTAGCAGCCGCTATAGGAATCCAACGGGGCTTTCAGATTGATCTGCTTTGCCAAAATCCATACATTAAATACTTTGTGGAGCGCTCAAGGTACCAACACTACCTTGCCGCATTACAAACTGCCTTGGTTGCTCCTCAATCTCCTTTGGCGTGGTATAATTTCAGGTCTCATGGTATCAGTTTATTGTCTATCAGCACAGCAGAAACAGATGGTTCACGTGAAGCTTCCAATGCATATTCTCTTGCCGCATTACATGAACAGATCATTGCAACCCTCAGCTACCTGGATGAGCGCTTTCATCATTCAACATCCGTGTGGGTTCCATTGAGTGTGAATGAATACGTCGAGCATGATGTTGCGCAGTTTGGGATTATTCTGCTTGTGGCATCGCTGCTTTCTACAGGTTATTCCATTTATGAGGTGAAAGGTCTTTCTCTTTCTCCATGTGTTGCGCTTATCTTTGTAGCACCTGTTTTTGCTTCAAGTGCAACGGAATGGCTTGGAATTTCAGGGTTCCTTTTGAGTAGCAGTTTTATGATTATCGCATGGAGTGTCTGTGAATGGGACTTGTCATGGCTGACTGTTAACGCCGTGGTGTTGTGTCTCCTTATTATTCTCCAACCTGCAGCCGGCCTTCTTATTGGTTCAGGAACTGCGATTCAACTTGTTTTTCTTCATGTGAAGTACCAGAGACCCCTTGTGCTGCTTCTGGGTTTCCTTTGCTCTTGGGCAGTGTTGTACTGCTTTGTGGAGGTGCTCAATATAAAGGTATGTGATACGAAAACAATAGGAGGCATTTATCTCTCCTTTTTTGGGTACCCGAACGCACTCTGGGTCTCTAGTCGTTTGATTAGATCACTTTTGTATTAAGACAAATGGAAGTGTTATTGCTTCTGTGGAGGACTCTCCTTTTCTGGCTGGTGTCTTTTTCTCTTGTTGGTGGGATTGTCATGATTTCTTTGTTTCTACATTCTTTTAGCCAGTCTGAAGTTACAATGGCGAAGCGTACAGTTAAGATGGGCGTCATGGGACGCTACGGCGCTCGCTATGGTGCCAATCCCAGGAAGCGTGCCAAGAAGCTCGAGGTATCGCAGCACGCGAGGCATTTTTGCTCATTCTGTGGCAAGTTTGCCTTCCGCCGCAAGGCTGTTGGTATCTGGCGCTGTGACGGGTGCTCCAAGACCGTGGCTGGAGGTGCTTATACACTGAGCACTCCTAACAACAGCACTGTCCGGTCCACTGTTCGTCGCCTTCGTGAACTGAAGTAAGGCAGTTATGTGTGCTTTGTTCTTTTCTTTTACATTTGTTTTCTTCACAACACTGCCTCTCACAGTGTGAAGCCAGGCGCAGATATATGTATTATTCTGTACGTTCTCATCCTGCTTATGCTTTGTTTATACCTACTTTTTCTTTGGTTTCTTTGTGTTCCGTTTTTCTCCCCATGTTTGACCTTAGATCACTATGTTTTCTTCCAAAACTGAGTACGACAGGGGCGTTAACACCTTCAGTCCCGAGGGGCGGATTTTCCAAATTGAGTACGCCATCGAAGCAATCAAACTGGGAAGCACAGGTCTGGGAATTCAGACCCCTGACGCAGTTATTATTGCCGCTGAGAAGCGAGTTCCTTCCACACTGGTTGACCCTTCCAGTATGAACAAGGTTCTGGAGATTGATCATCACATCGGTACTGTGCTGAGTGGCATGGTGGCTGATGCACGAATTCTCGTTGAACATGCTCGAGTAGAGGCGCAAAACCACCGTTTTACCTATGATGAACCCATGTGTGTGGAGTCGTGCGCTTTGGCTACATGTGATTTATCTATTCAATTTGGTGAAGGTGGTGGGCGCAAGAAGCTAATGTCCAGGCCATTTGGTGTTTCGCTCCTTATTGCTGGTGTGGATGAGAATGGGCCGCAGCTTTGGCAAACTGATCCTAGCGGGACGTACACTCGCTATGACGCTCAGGCAATCGGTGCTGGTGCTGAAGCTGCACAGACCGTTTTCAGTGAGCGTTATCACCGTAATATGTCTGTTGAAGAGGCGGAAAATCTTGCTGTTCAAATACTGAAGCAAGTCATGGAAGAAGAACTGACAAAAAGCAACATCGAGATTGCTGTTGTTTCTGCCGCTACAGGGAGGTTGCATATCCATGATCAGGCAAAAATACAAAGTATTATTGATCGTCAGGCTGAGGGATAAAAAAAAAAAAAGGCGTGGCCGCACCATGTGCTGGTCTCGTTATTTTTTTTTTATCTGTTAGGAATTGAAATGTGCTTCCCACTCTTTTTTTTTTGTGGGAGCGGAGGAGGAGGAGGAGGTGGCCGTGATTGATATTCAGATTCTTCCATTCAAAGCAGAAGCTCTACACACTGCCGATTGCTTTTTTTTTTCGCGTCCCTTTTTTCACTCAATGAGGAGTTCAAAGTCACTGAAGTAAAATGAACGCCATAATGACAGGTAGTGTAGAGAACGGTGAGTTTCAGAAGCGAATAAACAGTGAAGACCCAGAGAAGGCTAAACGGGTTTTGAGCGCTGTTAAGTTTCTTGTTGATCCACGTGTGAAGCTTACACCTATTGCTAATAAGGTGCTATTTTTAAAGTCTAAGGGGCTCTCCACTGAAGAGATATGTGAAGCCTTTCAAAAAACTGGACAACCAAAATCTATGGAAGAAATAAAGAGGATAATGAACCAACAAAATTGTGTTCCAGTGGTGCCGGTCGCCAGCAATTCGTCGCTGCCGTCCAAGCATGCGCTGGGTGATTCGACGTATGCGGCACATCAAGGCCCTGTTTCTCCTTACGCAGGTCCACTTTACACTCCGCAACCACCACCGTTTCCTCAAACTCGCCAAGAGTCAAAAGAAGCAGATTGGAGGGATTACGTCATTGCCGTGGGTGCCACATTGCTGGGAGGTTTTGCCGCTTTCAAGGCATTTCAAATATACTCTCCGTATGAAATTCGACGCAAAGACGAGAGGACAAAGTCGAGGCCCGGAAATGTGACTGAACGACGGAGGCACAAAAGCGGGAGGCGAGCTTCCTCAGAAAGTGATATAGAGCGTCCTAGCTTGTCCCAGAATATACCAGCTCTTCCTATGCCGGCGACGCCGACTCCAAATACTTCCAATACAGCCAATGGCCAAGATGAAGTCTCTAGATTGCAGACTGAAGTAAAGGAAACCCAAGATGCTTTGGAAAAGGAAAAGAAAAGTAAGGCGGAACTTTCAGTTACCCTTGGGAAATTAAGAGGCCAATTGCTTGCCCAGACAAGAGCCAATGAAAGACAGGAATCAAAAATCAAAAGTCTTCAAGAAGAACTTGACAAGCAACTAAACGAGGCAGGTGCCCCCAAAACGACTGATGAAAACGTTGGTGTGGCTTCAGGAGAGGTTTGCTCTCCTCAAGTGGGTGCTGGAATGGAGAATACTCTATCCTCTCCTTTGCCACCTGTAACGGCTTGCGAAAAGTCAGATGGTGCGGCACTAGAGCAAAGCCCACTACCTGTTTTGAGAGCAAGCGAGGTTGTTGAGGAACAATGATTCTGTAACTACAACGTTTCTAACTCTTTGGAAGGTGTCGACCTGTTATGCCTATCTGTTTGATATGCACGTTTTCGAAGTTATGTTTAAAGGTGCTTTATGTTTTCTTTATGGCTGCTTCTTTCGCCTCTGTTGTTAATGTTTGGCTTGAATGTATGTATGGGGTGTGTGGGGGTGTGAAGAAGGCTCTTATGCAGGAGGCGAAAGATGATGGTGACAATGATACCACCGCTTCAGAGTTGATTCCGCCACATTCTCCTGATTGCCGCAATAAGGATTGTGATGATACTGTTATGGAGAAAATGCCTGCTGTGGTCATTAAAAAGTTTTCCGTATTGGAAACTGATACAATCAGCAATGATTCAAGTCACATTCATGCTGATGGAGATAGTGGGCGTGGTTCTTCGGATATCAGGATGTCTCACGGTGAAATTCCTCCATTACCTTCCAATAATGATCGTGGTGAAGCGTCGTTGCCAAGGAATGCAGGGATTGTTTCGGTTCCCCCCATAGTGCTGGACGAAGGCCAAAAAAACGAGGGACACAGTGGGACTGAGCTACCTTGCTTATCACATTCTGGTTCTTTACGTGCATATCATCAAACGTCTAGTGGTATGGGGCGCGGTGATGAAACAGAGGCAAACCGTCCTCGGACTATGGCCAATGACACATTCTGGAGGGCCTCTGTTGAAAAGAGAAAAACGCAACAAAAAGAGACAATTCCCATCTCTCCTCCTAATGAGAACATTGAAAGCGACAAGGCTGTGAATAAACTACGGCAGGTGTGTTTGAAACAGGGGAACCGTTTGGCTGATTTGTACTATAGAGGTGTTAAAATGAAACAAGAATTAGAGGAGAAATGCAATGCTATACGTTCTGCACGGGAGAATGAGTTAAATAGTTGTTCATTTCACCCAGAAATCACCAAACAGGCTAGAACACTTCAACGGTGTGGAAGCGTTCCTGAGTGCTATAAGCCAAATGCTCACCTTCGACAGCGGCTTCTTCTTGAAGCTTGGAAGTCTGAGGCGGTCGAAGAGTGTCGACCCACTCCGATGATTTCCAAGGGGTCTGAGCGCATTGTCCGGCGTGTGCGAGGTAGTGGCGCTCCAGTGGTTCCTGTTGAAGAACGTTTACACATGGACTCTGATCGACGTCGCTGCCGAAGAGAGGAAGATATTGAAATACATAAACCTCCTGTGGTTACTAGGACTAGAGACGACGTAAAGGCGCATATTGATAGTCTCTACGCGTACGAAGCAAAACGCCAGTTAACTTTGCAAAAACTAAGGGGTGAGGTGGATGCACGTCTCTGCCAGGCACCTTTTCGTGTCAGTAGCAATGATGTTGTGGAGCGTCTTGTTCAAACGCTTCCGAGAACAAAATGTGATCACACTGCAGAAGAAAAACTTGTATTTGCGCCCAGACTTAATCCATCAACAGAGGAGCTAAGTCTCCGTGCGAGGCGACGGCGATTGAAAGAATGGTACCAGTACCTTTCCCAGGAGACGTGCCATGGCCCGTATTCTCCTCTCTATTGCGCAGCCATTGAAAATATACGGGATGTTGTTCGCCAGGCAAATCTCCCGTATAATTACTCCTTGGATGTTTTTTGTTCTACGTTAGACCACTACGAGCAAACTCATGGTCCACAACTCTGGCATTCAACGCCGCCACCTCTAGAGCCTCACTTGAATGAGGAACTGACTTTTGTTCCCCGAGTTAACAACCAAAAGAAGCCAATAGAGTCTTCTCAAGCAGCACATGAACGATTGTTTTCTAAGGCAAAGGAAAAGCAGCAGGCCTTGAAGCTTCAAGAACAAATACAGCAGCAAGCCGCTTCTGCTGAAGAAAAAAAAAGAAAAGAAAAAATGCGGTCTTGGTCAAGAAAAAGTGCCAAGATAGTCGAGAAAGCTGATAGAAGAGAAATTGTGACATCTCATACATTTTCGTTGCAGCGCAAGTTTTCACGGACTCTGAACCTCTCGTGTGAATATGGTCCATTTTCGTCGTCGCGATTCTCTGCGTCTTGTGGAGATGCTGAGGCCTCCCCCGAGGCGCTTCCTCCATCTGAAGTGTGCTCGTTGTCACCCGTGCTGGGCGCTGCAGAGGAGTTGCGTAATTTAATAGATGCACCAGAGGCAACAGATGCAAACCGTGCCTTAATTCTTTCTGCAAGTTGTGATAATTTACCTGCTGAAGACGATGCTGTGTCTTGTTGTGTCCCTGTTACTATTATGGGAGAGCAAAGCCCCTCGGTGCTCCCGACTTCGAGAGAGATCCCCCCAAAACCTCGCCGCGCTGTTTGTGATTTAGTGACCACCGATTTGTTGATGGAATGTGCACTAAGCCGCTTTTTATGGTCTGCCGATGTGACTCTGCGTCGTCGCGAATGGTGTGAAAGCCGTCGTCGTCTTCAGCAAGTGGGTAAGGCGCTCTACCAAAGGAGGTAATTGCCTTTTTTTTTGCGTCTCTCTTCCCCCCTCATTTTGGGGTGTCTTTGTTCTCGGAGTCTTCTTGTAGAGTATCTATAGTCATTGCTTGATGTTGATGACAGCTACTTTGTTTTTTTGTGAGTGTAACGTGAAGCATTTTTGGTCTGTTTATACTTTTGCTATGGAGGAGAAAAAGAGGGAAAGGAAGAATGATCACTGCAGCGGAAATAGAGTCTCGGATTCGTTTGAACCTCCAGCCGACATCACTTGAAGTCATTGCTTTGAGTGAGGAGGACCGTAAGTACAGTGTCGCTATTGTATCCGAAAAGTTCAAGGACGTCTCGCTCATTAAGCGACATCGAATGGTGAACGATCTTTTCAAAGAGGAGCTCTTATCGGGGGACATTCACGCATTGACTATATCGGCAAATGCCCCTTGCTAAGGATTGGGAGGCTTCCCGTGATTGCGGCTGTAAAGGCTGTATCCACATTCTTTCTCTCTCTCCTTTGTGCCCAAGGATTGTTTTGTTTATGTATGGAGTGCCGCTTCTGTTTTTCAGATGGTAAGGTCGAGAATGTGAGGGGATTCAACGCTTGTGGTCGCTGCGCTGGAAAAGTAGTTCCCTTATGTGAGGGTGTGGTGCACCAAGTAAGCGGCCCCTTGGTTGCTAAGGGGTGGGGTGTCGAGGTTATTACCGATGAGAATGAGTGGCGTGCTGCACTGTCCTCTGCTGTATCGGAATATGAAATGAACGATGAGGGAAGGAAGGCTATTCTTTTTGCCATTCAATGCAAAAAAGGTGACGTGACAACTCTTACCTTCATTGATCGAATGTCAGTACTAGCCGCAATGAGTGCAGCTCTTTCACGTCTCATGACAGCACCGAGGTCTCGAGATAAGCGGAATCTCCCAAAGAGAAATTTATAACGTTTTTTTGTTTGTTGTGCTTATGAGGTCCCGTTACTCATGTGTGAGTGTTTCTGTGCGTGTTGGGGTCTGCCTGCTCTGACATGGGAAGAGATCATTCTTTATTTTTCCTTTTGGTTGTGCTGATTGACGTTTTTGTTACAACACTTTTACTTTGACACAGTGAAGGAACTCAGTATGGTGAAGCCGTTCATCCCGAAGAGCGTTGTGAAGAAGCGCACGAAGAAGTTCACGCGCCACCGCTGTGAAGTCTTCCCGCAGCTGAGCAGCAGCTGGCGCAAGCCAAGGGGCGAGGACTCGCCGGTGCGCCGCCGCTACAAGGGGCAGAAGGCCATGCCGAACAAGGGTTACGGTAGCGACCGCAAGACGAAGTACATCACCCCATCGGGCTTCAAGAACTTCCCCGTGCACAACGTGCAGGACCTCTACATGCTGCTGATGCAGAACCGCAAGTACGCCGGCGTCATCTCCCACACCGTGGGCGCCAAGTCGCGGAAGGCCATCGTGCGCAAGGCCCATGAGCTTGATGTGCGCCTCATCAACGGCAACGCGAAGCTCCGCAAGGTTCCGCAGTAGAGGAGGGTGAAGGAAAAGAAAAAAAACGGAGGGCTGCCGTCGAAGGTTACGGGTTTCTCGTTACTTTTTTTTTCGTTTCTTCTGCTTTCTTGATTCCTCTTTCCGTGTAGTGCCCCTTGGGACGCCGTCTGCCCGCAGAGGGAGATGGGCTGCTCCATTGCGTCAAGGGTAATGTGCCATCGGCTGTTTTTCTTCTTTCTCTCTTTTTCTCTTTCTCTCTCGTTGCCGTGCCGAGCGTCTGCCTGTCGTTCCCGCAGCGATGGAGCAGTGCGTCGCGCTGACGGACTACGACGCGTGCGAGGCCGGCGAGATCAGTTTCCGGCGCGGCGACGTCATCACCGTGACGGCGAAGGGGAGCACCTCCGGCTACTGGGAGGGCTGCGTCGTCGCGCCCGGGCACGCGGAGGGGTCGTGTGGCCTCTTCCCCAACTGCTTCGTTTCGTCCAACATGCGACCGCAGCAGAAGCCCACTTTCTGCAACAAGGCCCTCTGCCTCTACGACTACAAGGCGGCCGACGCGTCGGAGATGTCCTTCCGGAAGGGCGATCTGCTGGGGGTGGTGCGGCCCAGCGCGTCGCCGGGGTGGTGGTGCGGCGTCAACGAGAGTGAGGCGGGGCGCATGCGACAGCGACAGGAGTCAGAGGATGCCGTTGCGCTTGCGTGCGGGACGGTGACGGAGCCGCTTCTTTTGCCAAGCAACTTTGTCACGTGTAGAATCGTCGTCGCGGCCTTCTCCTTTGAGGCGCGACAGAAACATGAGTTGGTGTGCGAGGTGGGCGACGTCATTCAAGTGCATCGGAAGTGGAACGACGGGTGGTGGGAGGGGACTCTGCGTGGCCGGCGCGGTATCTTCCCCAGCAACTACACATTGCCGAACGTGGCGACCACCACTCCTCCTTTTTTCTGCAATGTCTGCAAGACCGTCTTCGCCGACGGTCCACTTCGCTGTGAAGCGTGCCACAAGGATGAGGAGGTGACGCGGTCAATGATCGCAGCTCTGGATGACTATGCCGCAGGGAAGATCCCCACATTAGATCTATTTGCCTATGTGGAGATTGAAAAGACCGGCACAGGCGAAAGGGGAATAGGCGCAGCAGCAGCAGCTGAGGGATCCGTGCGCCGTGCTACCGGCATGCCGGTGTGAGTGTGTCTTCTGAGCCTATTGTTTTCGTGCTCTGTCTTCCCCCCCCTTCTCCTCCACTCAGACCGCGCCTTCTCTGCGTGTTCCCAATGATGGCGCTGGGTGTAAACAGGACCTGCCTTCTCCGCACTGTCTGCTTTGGTTTCTGTTGCTCCCTGTCTCCAGTGCGCGCGTGTGTGTGTGTGTGCATATTTATAGAGTGGGTGAGAGAGGGAAAGCGGAAGGGAAAGAGAACGGCAGGAAGCAAAAGGTTCTTGAGGTTGTGCAGCAGTGATGCCGCAAAAAAAGGCCCAGGCTTCTCCTGTATACGAGATGCCCCATGAGAGGCAGGTGGAGCTGTTGTCGGAGGCCCTCCTGCGGGAGTACATGCATAGACGAAAATTCACGGAGACGCTGCACGTCTTTGATGAGGAGCACCCCCGCGACAACGACACCATCTCGTCACGTGCGCTGATGTCCGACCTGATGGCACTGGGGACAGAGACGCAGCGCGCGATGAAGGCCGACGGGGTCGAGACGATCATGGAGATGCTATGCGCCCTTCGTGTGCGGCGACGGATGGAGCTGGAGGAGCTGAAGCAACGGGCATCTGTCGAGGCTCCACCGACTCCAGAGAAGTTAAAGAAAAGTAGTAAAGAGAAGAAGGGGACGTCCACTAAATCGTCTTTGGACGGTTCGCTGCGTGACAAGAGGCTGAGGCGGAGGGACACCGCGAGGCACAAAAAGTATACGGGTTCTATCGCAACCGACGACAGCAGCAACAATAATAATAATAACAACAACAGCAACAGCGCTACAAGCAGTGAGGGGGAAATGGAGAGCGAGCGAAGGCCTGCTGGCTCTCCCAAGAGTGAGCTGGGGTCTCGCCTCGGGAAGAAGCTTACCCGCTCGATCATGAGGTTACTTTGTGGCAAAAAATCTCTCCCTGCTTCGTTTCTAGAGCAGGGGTTTGTATTTGTGGAGGATGTGGAGTATGGACTCGTCCAGTGGGAACGAGGTCCCGACGGTGTCATTGCCGTTGTGCAGGCTTTTATATGTGCATACTTTTTCCGAGGGGGGTTCGTCGATGTCCAGCGGCATCAGCAGCAATGCCTCCTGCGGGCGCTGACGACGATCCTTTCCAGTGCTCAACCGGATCCGCGACGTGTGCGTCTTGTGAATGGACCAGTAGGGGTGAATAGTGTGGAGGCGGATATGGTACGTTTAAGTGTCAAGTATGACTTCTTCTCGATGCCCGAGGTCGAGGAGTCGCTCCACTCCCTTTTAGAGCACTGGATGCAGCCCAGAGGCTCAGGTGTCTTGTGTTTTCTCCTCTCCGTTCTTCTGTCTCGTGGAGTTGATGCGGCCGCTACCATTCTGGATGGTGCCACAACTTCCTTGATTGATGAAGAGGGCCGGTGCTCGTCTAACCTGGCGAGGCTGCTCTTGCGCGGCGAGGAGGACGCTGCTGCTGCTGCGTCAGATGACGTACTGAGTGGCTTGGCGCTGGGTA